AGNTTTTTTTTATTTATAACCTTTTATTGGTTTGTATTATCTCAAGTAGTTTGTCTTTCAGTCTGTCTGTCTGTTTGCCTGAGCTTCTCACTTTCTTTTTCCTCCCTCTAATCCTCTCTCTCTTCCTCTCTCTCTCTCTCTCTCTTCATATATATATATAGAGAGAGAGAGAGAGAAAGAAAGAGAGAGAGGACGTATGCTTACATAGGTTTTTTGTCATATTATTAAACCGTATAAGCGATGCCTAATGAATGTTTTAGTTTTTCTTAATGAAAGTTGTTTCGAGTTAAACCGCGATTAACAAATTAATTTATATTATGTTGTAATAAATAACATTAATAATAATATAACGGAGTTTATTTGAATAAATTATAAATATTAATGAAAAGAATTTTTTGTTTTTAAGCATAGCATACCAAACGATTGCAAATAAGTTTCGATAGTTAAACAATAATTGGTACTACAACAACTTCAACAATTGTAGCAGTAGCAACAACAACTACTTCTTCTACTGCTACTTCTACTGCTGCTGCTACTTTTACTACTACTGCAACTACAACCGTAGATTTAGAATTATCATTCTTAACAACAACAAACACAACAGCAATATCGTCAATTCTTTACTTGTTGGCAATTTCAATTAATACACGCAAAGGCTAACACCAAATCAAAAAGTATCAAAATTTGAAAATGACGTCATCGTCAAACTCTTTCCTCCTAATTATCATCTTCTTTATTTCGACCATCATCATATCATCATCATTGGCGTCTCCTGCTGATGATACGAAAGGAAAGCACAGTACTCACTGGAATTATGAAGGTTATCTCAGTTATTTGCTCTTCAGTCATTCATTCGTTTGTCTGTTGGTTTGTTCGTTTGTTTTAAATTTGTTCATTCGTTCGTTCATTTGTTTGTCTAGTCGAGTATTCATTCTGACGTAACTGGACAAAACTGGAAAACTAACTATTTCCGGTTTATATAAAAACAAAATGAAAACAAAATGAAAATAAAATGAAAGCAAAAAATAACTCTTCAAAATGGTTATTCAAGGTGATAAATAAACATTGAAAGAATTCGATTTAATGATTATTATTCTCACCAGGTGCCAATATATATGTATGTACGTGTGTGTGTGTATGTGTGTGTATGTGTGTATGTGTGTGTGTGTATGTATGTGTGTGTGTGAGTGTGTGTGAATAAACAGCAACATTCATTTTATTTTAATTTAACATATGTATTTTCCCATGAATCTAATGTGTATGTGTGTGTGTGTGCGTGCGTCTGTGTTTGTGCGTGTGGTGCGTGCGTGCGTGCGTGTGTGCGTGATATGTAATGTTAGCATGCAACCACCTGCGCTAACCTGTTTTTTACAATTTATTATTATAATAAACTTGAACCGAACTTGAATCGGCCGGCATAAATGAAATAAAAAGCAACAATAATAAGAAGAAAAAGAAGAGGAAGAAGAAAACGAATAATAATAATAATAATAATAATAATAATAATAATAATGATTATGATGATAATAATAATAACGACAGCAATAATTACGGAGATATATTACAACAACAGCAGTTATATTCATAATTTTTATTCAAACTTGAATAAACGAATGGTTTAAATTTAAAGATGAAATTTTTATTTGACACTTTCTCTCTCTCTCTCTCTCTCTCTTTCTCTCTCTCTCTCTCTTTTTTTCTTTCTCCTCAGTAATTTCTTTGTATCTACCTCTTTCTAGTTTTCTAGTTTTTCTCTCTCTTCCTTCCCTGAATAATAAAAAGTTTTTAATTGTAACCTTTTACACTTATTTGACATTCTCTCTATATTTTTATTCTTTATAATCAAGCTCTGTCAAACGCTTACTTGCTATTACTTTCTCTCTCTCTCTCCCTCTTTCTCTCGCTTTTTTAATTCTTTTCTCTTTTTCTCTCTCTTTCTCTTTCTCCCTCTCTCTCTCTTTCTTTCTCTCTCTTTCTTTCTCTCGCTTTCTCATTTCTTTTCTTTTTTTGTCTCTCTCTCTCTTTTCTTCTCTTTCTGTTGAAGTACTAGAAAAAACTTTTTTGCGGTACGTAGATCAAGAGGCCTGGTCAACGGGTTATCAGTCATGCTCCGGAAACCGACAATCGCCGATCGATATCTCGCTGAGGGATGTGCAGTTCGACGAGCAGCTGCCGAATATCGAGTTCGTCGGTGACTTCAGCAGCGATGCTACAATCGTCAATAACGGCCATACAGGTTGTTACTGATGGATGGATGAATGGATGGATGAATGAATGAATGAATGAATGAACGAACAAACGAACGAACGAACGAATGAATGAATGAATGAACAAATGAATGAATGAATCAACGAATGAATATTTTAATGAAAAAATTTGTCTATTTTTGCAACATCAAGACTAAAATATTGATGCAACCCAATCACACAAATATCATTCAACCTGTAAAGTGAACATCATCCTTAAAAATCCGGTTCGTTTGGTTGGCGGAGGATTGGATGGGGATTTCCGAGTGGCAGGGGTCCACTTCCACTGGGGGGTGGACAGGTTCAGTGGGTCGGAACATACCTTCAATAATACGAGACTCCCATTAGAGGTAGAATATTGATATAGAAAATACAAAACACTGCGGAGTGTATTTTTGTATTTTTTTATTGATAGTTTTTGTGTGTATAGTGATACCTATTATACTGAAGGGTATCTTACGTTTCTTTGTGTACAATCATACGCGTATTTCTGTCTATGCCTATCTTGGTAAACGTGAGAAGAATCATTTAAATTGGGCGACGATTAAGTATAATCCACATAGCATGTTTGTCTGATTGTAATGCTATCTTCAAAACTTGTGAAAGAATGTGCTTGTTTGCTGGCTGGCTGGTCGGTTTTGTTTGATTGTTTGTTTGCTTCGATTTAATTAAATTCTTTTCTCACATGTTTGAGTCTTATTAGTTTGTTAATTGATTTTTTCAGTGATGGGTTCGATTGATCGATTACGATTCATTCATCCATCTATTCATTTATTTACCTATCCAGTCAGCTGTCTATCTACAAAATCATTTTTCTACCCATCCATTCATTCATCCATCCATCTAACCATCTTTCCATCCATCATTCCAGATGCACATAGTGACGTATAAAGAGTCCGGATACTTGGATTTCAGCGAGGCAGCCCAAGGAATCAATTCTCTGGCCGTCTATGGAGTCCTTTTTAGGGTGAGTCAAAAGAAAATCTAACCATAAACAAATGAATAAGCCAAGTACACAAACAAATAGATACGTAAGTACAAATACATACGTTGATTCATTCATTCGTTTGTTCGTTCGTTCGTTAGTTCATTCGTTTATTCATATATATTAATTCATTCATTCATTCGTTTGTTCGTTCGTTAGTTTATTCGTTTATTTATTCATTCATTCGTTCGTTCGTTCATTCATCCATTCATTCATTCAATCATTCATTCATTCGTTTGTTCGTTCTCATAAATTTTAAAGCAAGTGAGCGAGAACAACATCTATTTAAATCCATTGGTGAATGTGTTGAAACAGGCCAGCTACTCAAGTTAATATTGTTTTATTACTCTATTATCTATTACGCATACACACGCGTAAGCACAGCACCCTACTTGAGACATTTAATCATTCGTTCACTCACTCACTCATTCATTCATACATACCCCCACTCAAATAAGGCAAGCCAATTTTGACGAAGGGCCCTTTAAACGTGGAGAAATTATTACCCCTGGATTACGACAGCCACTATTTAAGGTACTTCGGGTCGCTCACAACTCCTCCTTGCACTGAAAATGTTATCTGGACCATTGCCATTGGCACTAGTACGATTTCTGAGAAACAGGTCGGTCGGTTGGTTGATTGGTTAGTCAGTTGGTTGATGATCGGTTGATCAGTTGGTTGATGATCGGTTGGTTAGTTGGTTGACGATTGGTTGGTTGGTAAGTTGGCTGATTTGTTGCCCCTTTGATTTATTTATAAGGAGAATTTTAAAAATTTATCGTTCAGGCCCAAAAACATATAAAACCACACCTATCATCGAAAGTATCTCATTTTTTCAACAGCTAAACGAGTTTCGCAACTTGCGCATTGTCGATGTAGCAGCAGAAGCAGCGGCGGCAGGCGAGACAACTGCAGCTCCGAAGATGATTAGCCAGATGAAGTTGGACCCGCCGAAACTTGATCACAATTGGCGATGGATTCAAGACAAGAAGAATAGGAAGGTCAGATCTACAGTCACCCTCGACTCACAAAAGTTTCAAAATTTGAATCTCGTTAATGGTAGAAATGATGGTAATAATAATAATCGGGCCCGTGGTTTCTCTGGTAGTTTGGTTATTTTTGCCGTATGCCAGCTCTTGTTTTGGTAAAATATATCGGAATTTAAAAAGACGACAAAGGAATGGATTTGAATTAATTTAATTTGTGGTTTTATATGTTTTTATATGTTTTATACACACAAACGTACACACCTAGATAAATGTACATTATATATATAAACCGATATATCCATATACATACCGTTTTTAAATTGAGAGCATGTGAAAAGAGTTTTTTTTAATCAAATCCATCCCTAGGTTGAATTTTTAGCAAATTTCCCGTCAAATTTGATTTCTGATTAATTGTATGAATGGAATTATAACAGCAACTCGTTCGTTTTATAAACTCTAATCAGTGTATAGCATAGTTATTTTTACTAGGAAAGTTATCTTTACCTCTTTAAATAATAAACCGTATTTTTTTCAATCTCATTTAATGAAAATGAAACGCAAGTAGAATTATTCACCAATAATGAATGTTTCTTTTCCATTAAAATTTAAATCATATAAGTAACACATACATTTCTATTTATACATACCTAGACATACATAGACATATATATATACACATACATACACATACATACACATATATACACACACACACACACACATAGGCATATATATATATATATACACACATACACATACATAGACATATATACATACATACAGATGTAACGAAAGCAATGATAATAGTATTGACAAACCTTGGATACCAATCTATAAATAAATAAATAAAGAAGAAACAAAACCAACCAAACAAATAAACGGTATTACCAATGGGTTTCTCAAAAAACTTAAAACGTCTCATCCCTAGGACTTGGAGTACCCACCATAACTACTTCCAACATCATCACTTTCTCCCCCATCAACATCACCATCCCCTTTAATGACAGGCTTGTTTCTCAAGAGGACAACAATTCTTCTTGACCTTTGAACCTGAAGGCCCTTGAACTTTGAAAGGTCATTTGGTAAGACTTCGTGGGTGAACTTGTACCTAGCGGCGTTTCTGTTTTGGCGGGAAAAATTGATAAACACGTCGTTCTTATTATTATTATCAAAATAATTATAACTTATATATTTATATAAAAATTATTTTATTTAAAAATAATCCCAGACTTAAAAATAACCCACACTATGAATTAGGTAAGAAGTTATAGAACTATACAAAAATACAAACTTCATGTAATACAGGCTGTACCTAGGCAATAATACATCTGCATACTTTGATTGGTCGTCAACATTTACAAACCTCATCACACAGCTGGTCAGTAGGCACAAGCCTGTTATCGTATCCCCACAAAACTATAAATTATGAAATTATGAAACAAAGGTATTACAAAATTAACAAAAAAAAAGAATAAAACAATACAATTGGTTATATCTGAAAATAAAACCAAAAATTATAGAAAAAATAAAGATTTGAATAGTGAATTAAGGATTAATCAGCAACTAAATAACAACCTTGACACTGTCTACATGTGCCTTAATGACCCCAGAAGGCAAAAGATCAAGGACATGAACGTGGGGTAGGATGGAACATGACGGGGTAAATGAAGTTTTTTGAATTCTTTCAATTAATGGTCTATTTTTAGCTGTCCATGTTTTTTTCTCTGTCTCTCTGAAACCTCTAATTGCCTTTTTTTTAGTATGAATGAATTAAATAATATATAAATCAAAAGTATATATTTTGCAATTTCAGATAATTTTTTAATTAAAATATTTTAAATTTAAGAACACAAAAACAAACATCATCCCAGTGGCTGTCTTCATATTTGAGTCGTTTCAGATAAGGTTCCACTTCACTTAATATCGAATTCTCCTCCTCCACTGAGGCAAAATTCTCAAAGACAGCCACCCCCTGTTTCATGGACTCTTCTGTTTCTGGATCCGTGGCCCAACCAATTTTTTCCCATGGACTTGCTGATAGAGGGCTGGACAGAATGGTTTTTGTAGTTTCTGGTTGTTTAACGGCTGCAGTTGATAATGGTCTAGTTTTGATATAGATAAATAAATAAATTAAATTTATGGAAAAATGTTTTTTACAAAAAAGTGGTAATTTTAAAAAAGATAAAATAAAAAGTAAATAGAAAAAAGTAAAGTATTAAAATAGCTGAAAATTATTAAAATATTAAATTTTAAAAATTTTAAACAATTAATTGAATGTAATAAACAAAAATATAACGTGTTTGAACATTTCCGAGCAACTAAAAACGAAAATTTACCAAAAAACTTAATTTTTTGAACCAGATTAATCATGTTTGTTATGTTATTAAAAGTAAATTCGATTTCACAAAAGAGGTCCAACTAATAACTGAAAGATTGCACTCGCATTACAGATAACACTCATCCGATTACCCACAGAGTACATACACACGCAAATAAACAACTGAACAATAAACAAACATTTATTAATTAATAATTCAGTTTAATTTTACGAAAGTTTAATTATAAAAAACTATTCATTCTCCATCATCCCAGATTCATTGAAATTTTCAAGGCTGCAGAGAGTTAGGCTCTAGAAGAATTTTCTGAATGTTTATTAATTCTGAACGAACATGGCGGATGGCAGTTTTGTTGTTTTTATTTAATTTCTAAAAATGAATCAGTTGGATCAGGCTAACGATATTGAATATTCCCATTTCTACCGTCCGGGTAGTTAGATTTTTTAAATTTTTATTTAATTTTTCATTTTTTCTGGCAGTTTTTAAATTTCATTCCCTCAATCTTGAAATTTTGAAAATCTCAAAAATTAAAACTTTTAATTTAAAAGGAAATCTCTTGCTTTGCATCTTGTTTTTGCATCCTTTTTGTGTGTCGTTAGTGATTAGTGTCAATTTGATTGACAGCTAGTAGTGCTTTGAAAAGGTGCTTTTTCAATTTATTAGGTTTCTACTTCAAGTATTGTGGTCAGTGTTGTAAATGTCATAATAGCAAATGAACAAACTTACTTAACCGCTTCATTTGATGATTTGATAAATAAAGTTAAGAAAATATTTTTAATTCAATAATTTTAAATAATATATATATATATATATTTATTTATTTTTTAATCTATTTTTATTTAAATTGTTTCAGCACCACCAAAGCATGATGGATATAGAGCTTTTGATGTCCTGAACTTGCTGAAGAATAAACTAGCATACCTCTCTGGTCATAGTTTTTAAAGATTTTTAATTTTATTTAAATTTTACATGACTAAATGAACAAATAAACAATGTATTGATTAAGTGTATTATAAAAATGAATAATGTGACTGATGTCTATGAGGGATTAGGCATATTTTTTTATCAACCCTTATTTAACTTAACTTATTTAATATGTTTTCCTAGTGGTTATTTGTTTGACACAAAAATTTTTTGAATCTTTTTCTGTTTCTCTCAGTTGATTGACAATATATATATCTATTTATATAGTATGAGTATTTAAACAAGTGATCAAATATTACATTTATATGCAATAATTATAAATGTATATGTAGGTTAGTATGTATATATTTGTATGTATATATCTTTGTTTGTATGTATATATATACCTTTGTATGTATTTTTACATACATGGAAGGTAAACATGTAAGCAATGCAAATACAAAATACATTGTACAAATTCACTGCCTACAATCAAAAGTACAATCCTGTAATAAATGCTATTCAGTACAATAATACCTCAGAACCTTTGCTTTTGGAATGCTAGAAAACATTTAAAATAAAGTAGAAACATTGAACTGATAAATACCTCATTGTCATGTACACAGGCACACACACACATGCACCACATGTGTACACACATACACACACACATGTACATACATGTACATTCATACATATATACATATGTAATTATACATATGTAATACACATGTAGATACATACATGTATATATATATATATATATATACAATATAACTTATATAATTGTTGACAGAGAACAACTGTTGCTAGTTTTAAAAGTGTAGAATGAGTTTGTTTCTTTTATTTATCTTTGTTTCTTCCAACAGTTTTCATTCTGTTCTCTTTTCATTCATTCATTTTCATTCATTCATTTGTTTGTTTGTTTAGCCATTCATTCAATTGTTCCATTCATTTATTCATTCACTTGCTTTTTTGTTTGTTTTTTAGCTATTTTCTCATTAATTCGTTCATTCACTCACTCATTTTGCTCTTTATTTTTTCACTTATTCATCCATCCATCTATCTATCCTCCATCCATTCACTCACTCATACATCCACTCATTCATTTATTAATTCATCCATGCATTCATTCATTCATTCATGCATGCATTCATTCATTCATTCAGGGCTATTAATTGTTTCAATAATAAATTTACATTATTATTATTACACAGCAGTCATTATTACATGCAAGATGGTTGATTGATTTATACAAGGATGTGGCTTGATGATGATGATGACGATGACGACGACGATGATGATGATGAAGACGATGATGATGATGATGATGATGACGACGATGATGGTGATGATGATGATTTCGATGTTGTATATACTTGTTATTAGTGATATATTGATTTAATGAGTTTATGTGTTTGATGGTAATTCTGTACCTATATTATTAATGTTATTATTATGTGTCTGCCTGGCATGCAATATTAAATGAATGAAGCAATCAAAGAAGGAATGAAAATAAGTAAGACAGAAAGTATGAATGAATGAATGAATGAATGAATGAATGAATGAATGAATGAATGAATGAATGAATGAATGAATGAATGAATGAATGAATGAATGAATGAATGAATGAATGAATGAAAGAATGTCCAGAAAGCACAGAAACACAGCCATACTTTACTTTACATTTTTGTTTCATGTTAGCCCTATTCCCATGGTTTATTTTATTGACGCTCTACAGTACACAGATGTATGTGTGTATGTTTGTTTTTATGTCTCTGTGTGTGTGTGTGTGTGTGTGTGTGTGTGTGTCTGTGTCTGTGTCTGTGTTTGTGTGTGTCTGTCTGTCTGTGTGTTTGTTTCTGTATATATGGTATATATATGGTATAATTATATTATATGTATATAATTCGTTTTTTTTGGAAAATGTATGTATAGCCATTTATTTACCTAAATTTTCAGCATGCTTTTTTGATGTGTTGATGTT